ACGTGGATGCCTTGGCTCGCCCGCGGTCCCCGGCGGGTAGGGAGCGGCCGCGTCCCCTTGTCACGGTGAGGGAGGGGGGAAACTGAGGCACGGGGGATGCCGGGGCTGGGATGCCCGGCTGCCCCCCGCGCTCAGGTCCCACCGCTGCGGCAGCGGGTGGGGGTGGCTGCCTCCCTGCCCCCCAGGGACCTCGGAGCACCCCAAGGCAGGCGTTGGCCAGTGCCCCTCTTCTGCTTTGCTTAAAGACAACTGACTACAAAGGTGGAGTTTATTGGTCTTACTACGTCAGCTCATCCCTAGCATGGATAGTAAGAAATCTCTAGCACCGTAAACAGCCGTTCCCTGACTCATTTCAAGTGGTATCAGAGTGTATGTGCATATATCGGTTCCACGTATGCATTTCTGTGCGCGTGTGCACGGCCACTGCGAGGGAGGGAAGTAAGGCAGCGGGAGGGAATTAAACGAACCCCATGAGACGGGCTTTGCAGAGCCAGGGCCGGGGAGTCACACCGGGCTAGGCAAAAGCAAGCAAGCTGAAGTTTACATTTTAAGAGGAGCGGCAATACCGACCTACCCCCAAGGTAGGATGCATGCAATCGTGAACTGCCACCGTCCCTGGAAGGTCAACTCAAAGGTAACCCCACGGCTGGGTTAGAGCAAGATTTTTTAATGACTCAAAAATAATAATAAGACAAGGAATAGGCTCAGTCCAGAAGCCAGCATCCTTGAAAGCACCCGTTTACGGCCAGAGCTGAGCGCCTTGCTCTGAGGGACAAGGTGAGCGCAGAGCTGTAACCTGGGCTACGAGGCCGGTCGTCCCAGCTCTCCCACAACTTCTCTCCTCGCCCGGCTGTCGGTGCCGCCTGGGAACTCACGCAGCTTCAGCTTCGCTGTCTTGCTCGTACCAGAGCCCCTTCTCCAGGAGCGCTCTTGGAAAGGTCCGTGAGCGCACGTACTCAATGCTCACCCTCTCGTCTTTCCTCCCTCACACAACTGCAAACCTTCGTGGTCCGGGCAGGGATGCTGCCAGCCCCCCTCCCCGGCCCAAAGCCCCGTGTTCCGTTGCTGCTGCAAAAATGGGGCTGCTGCTGTCGTTACAAGGCTGGATTCGTAAACATCTACGGGAATCAATGAAGAACCTCAGGCCCTACCATAAGGAAGGTGGCCCCGGGAACTGGGGGGTTGCATGCCCTACCCGCGACCACGGTACGTGGGAACGGTCCGGGAATGAGGGAGGCTGGGACAGGAAGGATGTTAATGAGGATACTTAATTAGTCTCAATTGAGGCATGAAGCACACAACCATCAGCAACCCTGGGATACGGAAAGGCATAAAATAACGGTGATCCCGGATGGTGCCATGTGCTGCCGGCCGGGCACGGCGCCGCGTTAGCTGCTTGCCATGGCATCACCATCCCGGCGGGTTTGGAGCGGCGCGGTGGGTGGGTGGGCACCCCTCGTCCAGCCAAAACCGCGGGACTTGGTGCACGCAGCCAAAGCAATCACACATTTCCCTGATAGCGTCCAGTGGCACCGGACAAATGCCAAGCTCCCTAACATCCCCACTACATTCATCTGCACCGGGCAAACGTCGCTCCGCTACACCTTGAGGGTCTGGCCCCACGGATGAGGTTGTTTCCTTGGCACAACACGTCTCGGCAGCAGTTACCTGCCGCGACCGATGCAAAACTCTCCCTGCGCATCCCTGCTCGGCCGACGCAGGAGCTTACCCTGCAGGAACACGTTTTCCAGCCACGTCCACCATCCCTCACAGCACCCACCCGACGGAGGTGAGAAAAAGGAGTTTCCCAGTGCTCACACCTGCATGAGCACCGTCTGCCGGGCCACTCTCCTGGGTGTTTCCCATGGGATTTTTTGCCAGGCAAAGCTATTGCAAGAATAAGTCTGCACCTGAGATCCAGGCTGGCCTCCAGGGAGGGGGGGAGAGCGGGCGCGGGGCAGCGCCAAGGGCCGAGATGGAAGATCCAGGCAGGCACCGAGCCCGGAGGCTCAGTAGGCGTTTGGGGAGGACGGCTCTAACCAGCACAACCTGCCACCCACCGCTCCTCCTTTGGCACACGCCAAACCTCACGTTTGGCGCACGCCAAACCTCACGGCTCCTCTGGCTTCCCCAGGGCACAGCCTGGACCCCCTCGCACAAGGAGGTCTGGCTTAACGCTAAATTATACGTACTGGAACTGAAGCATCACCTCTGTTCCACCCCTCAGCCCTTCCTCCTCCTCCCAGCTCCGTCCCCACGCTCACCGCCCTGCCCGCAGGACTCGGCTGCCTCCAGCTCCCGGCTCCGAGATTTTCCGGCTGCTCTCTGGTCCGGCATCCCCAGCACCCTGCCTTCACCCGGCCCAGCCTCCGATTCCTTCTGAGCCCCCAGGAGGGAGTGAAAACGGTCGTTTCTCTTGTTTTAAACTCCTGCTCGTGAGCACAACGTTTCTGATAATAATAATCATCATAATCATAATAATCATAGTACTAAAAACAGTATTTACAACAAGCTCCAGGTCAGAATTACACACCAAGCAAACACTCAGCACCACAGAGAGTAGGACAGGGTTAATATCTCGCAGATACCTTCTCAGATCCCACCAACGTGGGACACAGACATTTGACAGCTTCAACCATTTCTTACACACAAACATTTCGCTTAAATTACTTTTAAATTAGTTTTTTTTAAACTTTTTAAAATTTCTCGTCACTATATGAATGAGGTGATGCTGGCGGTGATGCCACGCTCTACACAGATGCTCATCTAAGACAGCTGCTACTATAAACTGATCATTAGCTACTGTTAAGAAATTCAACCCTCAGTTTCCTTCCCTTTTCCCCTCTTTGCCCTAAATCGGTGGTTTGGTGGGGTTTTTTTGTCACTGACAGCGCAGGGGCTTTCTAACAGTCCTGTCCTCCCCCCGGCCCAGGCGGAGGGGTTTGGGAGTAAGGTAGCCCTTCCTTTTAGGAGCGGAGTCCCCAACATCAAACCGTGGCCATCGAGGGATCCCTCCCGAATCCAGCTGGGACTTCGGGGGAGATTGGCAAAGAGCCCCAGGATCCCGTCTCCAGCAGCTGCTGCTCTTTGGCTTTCTGTGGGGTTTCTGCGACCCCCTGATGCTCACCCCAGGCCGTAACCAATTCTTCTCCTAAGCAAAGCACAGGGTAGACAGCAAACTTCAGCTCCTGACAAGACTCGGCGATGATTTCTTTCTCAGAGGGAAGGAGAGACGAGGGATCGTCATGCCCTCGGCAAACCCCGCGTCTGCTCTGAGCTCCTCATCGCTGCAAGCCATCGCCGTGCAGAGCACGGTCCCCAGGGAGCCCCGGGCTGGGCTGTGCCCGTGCCCCTCTCCCCGTGCCCACATCTGCACCCCTCGTTTCCTTAAATTATTCCCCAAGGATCCTGCGAAGCCCACCGCAGGAGTCCCTCATCCCACCCACAGAGTGGCTCTTCGGAGGCACAGCCTGCAGAGGATACCCATTACTAATAATTAAACGTCTCGGTGCCTTGGATGCCCCTTTGGTTTATTCTGGGGTCTGAGAGGGTGGCCAGGACGGAGGGGCCATCGCGAGGCGGAGGGGAGCGGTACCCTGGTGTAAAAACCATCCAGGCACCCTGCGCCCAGTCCCCGAACCACCGCACCGGTCTGTGAGACAGAGAACGACCCCGTCATCTCTAAGCGCTGGACAGGGGGGAATTCTTTTTGACCTTCTGCCTCAAATGAAAGCAGCTTCCACCGACTCCTCTGCAAAGCCCCGCGCAGGACCGTGCGCCTGCAGGGCTGAGTCCCCCGCACCGCGTCCCGCGAGGCCCCGCTCGCCCGAAGGGGACCGTTCCCTGCTTTTCGGATGCAACATCTCCACCGAGATGTTGAAGGCAGAGGCAGAGCTGGGGCAAGGGGAGCAGGGCTGTGGGTCTCAGCGGGCGGGGGGCCGCCC